CTGGGTTAGCAAGAACTAATTAGATACAAAACTAACAATCTCATTTGAACTAAGCCTGTCTTATGTAAACCACTGCACACTGCAGATTATATATGTGAATTTGTTCCTGTGTCTAGGCATATGGACTTAAAAGCTGAAAAGCCTTAATGGTTCTAACATGTACATATAAGGAGTGGAGGGTTTAAAGCCAGTGAATCATCATATGCTAATGTTCCAAAGTTAATTGTTTACCTAGAAGGTTAGAGGCAATTAATGACCCCAGTAAATAAAACTGTTCACATCTATAACAGTCATGGAATGTCATACCCTCGTGTCTCACGCCAGAAAACTAGGCTTGAAAAAAGTCTGCTTTTCTTGGCCAATGTAAAACCAGAGTCATTCAAGCCAACATTGGATTTATAAATGTAAGGAGATGTCATAAGCTTATCTTTTCCATTGAAAATTTCAACTCTTATTCGCATATGCATACACTCAGTTGGTTGCATCTTCTTTCAGTTATTTATTTAGTTGTTTTATGTGTTTGATTGTAATTTTTGCATGCATGCCTGGTGCCAGAGAAGGTCAGAAGAGGGCATTAGATCCTTTGGAACTGGAGTTATGGACAGCTGTGAACCAGCATGAGAGTTCTGGCAATTTGAACTCTGGTCCTCTCCAAGAGCAAGTGCTTTTAACTGCTGCACCATCTCTCCAGACCTACCCTTCCAGTTAGTTAACAAGATATTTACACTGACTACTTCAGGCCCTGAGATAGAAATTTTCTCCATTTATTGCATAGCATCTATGTTATAGGGTCTTAAGAGTTTTTAGGCCACCTGCCTCCACACGGGTGCCACTCCCATGAGCAAATATGTGGTGGACAGACGGGAGAGAAAGAGAAACTGAGTGGTTTATGTACTATGAAGACAGATGGAAAAGGAACCGCCACTGTGGTGAGGAACAGCCTGATGTGAATAGCCTGTGCTGCCACCTGAGGCCTTGGTTATGTCCTGTCGCTGTGGAGGACCATGTATGGGTCTGTGGCCCTGCCACCGAAGTGATCTGTGTTAATGTCTGTGACCCATGTTACTACCAAAGGCCATGTGGACTTCTATCTCTTGGCTGTGGCCTGGGGCCATGATGTCTGAAGGCTTCACTGAGTTGGCCCCGCCCATCACTGACCACCGCCTGGTGGATGCATCCATGTAATGTGGATGCAGCATTGGAGAGCTGGCCATGATGGTGTGAGTGCCTTGAGCTGGAGAGCTGATTCCTCCGCTTGCCTGGGCAGAGCAGGAGAGCTGGACCTGTTGGCTTGGGCTGGGGGAGAGCTGGCAGGCTGAACACTCAGCTACACCCCACTCCCAGCCTAGATCGAGGGCTTTGAGTTGACTAACCCCAACATCCACCCCATCTATGTGCTGCTGGAGTCAGCGAAGAGACAGGTCCTGCAAAACCAAAGCTGCAGGATCTCCATGACTCAGGAGGACAGCAGGATCAGAGAGGAGTCCCAGTGAGGATCCAGTATGGATGGCTGGTGTAGCAGAAACCGGAGGCCAGAATCAGACCAATGACTCATTGCAATGAACATTTGCAAGTAAAGCTGTTTGGGCAAAAGGGTATACTGTGTGTCACACTGTTAGATGCCAAAGCTTCTATGTGGAGATTTTGTTTTTAATTTTTAATTTTCTCATTTTTTATTTTCTTTTAGGGAGGCAGTTGCCAGGGTGAAGGGTGGTGATGGAAGGACTGGGAAATGAGTAGGATTGGGGGACATGATGTGAAACTCACTCTCTCTCTCTCTCTCTCTCTCTCTCTCTCTCACACACACACACACACACACACACACACACACATCAATAATTTTTTTTTTATGTTTCAGTTGTAATGGAATTTTTATCCCTGTTCCATGACAATCCAAACCCTCTATTGTATTTTCTTAGGGCAGAAAGAGAACGATCACAACCAGGCCGGAACTGTAAAACAGACTGTCCTGAAATTCAGAGATCCACTTGCCTCTGCCTCCTGAATGTTGGGATTAAAGGTGTGTGCCACTACACTGGGTACTATACAAAGTGGCACACACCTTTAATCCCAGCATTTGGGAGGCAGATGCAGGCCATTCTCTATGAGTTCCAGGATATCCAGGGCTACATGAGAAACCCTGTCTAAAACAACAAATAGCCGGGTGGTGGTGGCACACCGGCCTTTAATCCCAGGAGGCAGAGGCAGGTGGATCTCTGTGAGTTTGAGAGCAGCCTGGTTTACAAGAGCTAGTTCCAGTTCAGCCTCCAAAGCCACAGAAAAACCCTGTCTCAAAAAACAAACAAAAAAATAGAAAACAAACAAACAAACAAAAAAGGACAGCATGGGGCAGGAGAGATGGCTCACATGTTGCTCTCCAAAATGATGCAAGTTCAAATCCTAGCTCCGAGGTCAGGAGCTCATAAATGACTGTAACCTGTAACTCCAGCTTCAGGGAATCCAGTGACCTTTTCTGACCCCTGCTGATACCAGCAGACAACACACACACACACACACACACACACACACACACACACACGTGTGTGTGTGTGTGTGTGTGTGTGCATAAATAAAATAAAATAAAATAAATGTTTTTATTAAAAAAAAGAGGGATAGTATAATAGTTACACAGAGGTATACTCTTCTAGTCCTTGTCATCAAGAGGCTGAGGTCCTGAGTGGTATAAGTAAACAGGCTAAGAAAACCAGTGAGTAGCACTCTTCCATGGCCTCTGCTTCAGTTCTCACCTTGAGTTCCTGCCCTGGACTTCTCTGGATGATAGGTTACAAACTATAAGATGAAATAAGCCCTTTCATCTCTAAGTTGCTTTTGTTCACAGCATTTTATCACAGCAATAGAAACACGAAGACAAGCTCAATTAAAAAAAAAAAAACCCAAACAGACAAGATGCATTTTCTCCTGTCATCAATAGGGAAACTGGGTGAGTAACTTCAGGAAAACCATATAAATTTAGAGCAAAAACTGGGATTGAGTAATTCTGAGATCAGGGCTCAACGCTAGCATTTCCAGTAATATAGTATCATGAGTATAGTAAGTCAAAAACACAGACACGTATGTTTGTGTCTTTCCAGCAATTTACCAAGTAGTCCCAGTTTCTGGCATAGCTAACTAAGGCACACAGGTTCATTTATTTCTGGGAGATTCCTCTCGGTTCCTCAGCGAGCATGAGAGACATGAGTTTTGGCAGCCAGATATTTCTGTCACTTCTTAGTTTAGGAAGTTACTTGCTCTGCACTTTCTGTTTATTCAGGTAATATTATATCCCGGGGTCTCTGATGGAGTTGAAGACTAGATAGTTATAATTATAGTTTTCCTTGTTATCAAATTCAAAAAAGAAACTCACAGAAGAGGTGTACAGCATATAAGATTGAGAGACACAAAAGGATAGTTTGGATAGAAAGTAAATTAGGTACAAAACTTAGGGCTCACCAAGATAGGATAGATAATGGAGTATTTTTTCTGAATTTTCCAAAGACAAATGGACTGGGTATTATAACTGTAATTCCTTTTTTAAAACTTACTCTTTTAAAATTTCATTTTACATTCCAACTACAGTTCTCCCTTCCACCCCTCCTTCTGCCCCCCTCTCCCCTATTTATCCCCAGTCCAATAGGTTGAGGCAGAGTCAAACCACTCTCCCATGGATTAAGATGAGCATGGCATCCTACCATAGGGAATGTGCTCCAACAAGTTGGCTCATGTACCAAGTTTGTATTGTAGTCCTACTGTCAGGGGGCCCCTCAGATAGTCCAAGCTTCACAACTGTCTCCATATACAGAGGGCCTAGTTTAATCCCCTAGAGTCTCCCAGCTGTCTGTGTAGCATTCATGAGTTTCCAGGAGCTTGGTTCAGCTGTCTCTGTAGATTTCTCCATCACAATATTGACCTCCCTTGTTAATATATTCCCTCCTCCCTCTCTTCAACTGGATTCTGGGAGTGTGGCTTGGTTCTTTGGTTGTGGATCTCTGTGATTGGTTTGTAACTATAATTCTTACTTGATAACTGTTTTGGTATATATATTTTCACTATATTAAAGCTAAAATCTTCTTTTTTAAATTAGATAAAAGGGGGAGTGTTGTGGAATAATCTTTTTTGTATACTGTGAAGATGTGTCTTTGCCAAGGTGCCTTCTGATTGGTTTAATAAAAGAGATGACTGGCTGGTAGCTAGGCAGGAGGTATAGCAGGACAGCCAGACAGAGGATGCTGGGAGGAAGAAGGGTGAAGTCTCAGGAATCACAGAGATGCAGAGAGAATCAAGATGAATGTGTTGTGTGGAAAGAATGTACAGCCACATGGCAGAGGGGAGAAAAGAAATATGGGTTAATTTAAAATTTAAGAGTTAGCAGCCGGGCTCACGCCTTTAATCCCAGCATTCGGGAGGCAGAGGCAGTTGGATCTCTGTGAGTTTGAGGCCAGCCTGGTCTACTGAGAGAGTCCCAGGACAGCTTCCAAAGCTACAGAGAAACCCTATCTCGGAAAACAAAACAAAACAAAACAAAACAGGAGTAAGCTAGGAACCAGCCTGAGCTATCACCCAAGCATTTGTAATTAATAATAAGCCTCTGAATGGTTATTTGGGAGTGTTTGTGGAGACACAGAGAAACTCTCCTTACAATTTACTGTAATAATAATTACTAACACTCTCAAGTCATTCATTCTCTCTCTCTGCATTATAGCAACTGCAAAGGGTTAAAGAGACCCTAGTGGAGTTCAAGTAGTTTCAAGTAGAGACTCAAAGAGTTTCTGCAGATATAAGATAATAAATTGGCTGCAGTTGTGTTGTGGGATATTTTGATCACACTCTAACACTCCTGAGACTACAATAAAGTTTACCTTGAATCAGAAGGTGGAGCTAGCTACTAGCTGATCAAAATTAGTCATAGAGGTTTTGGAGGACCCAGAACATATAGAGAGATACAGGAAGTAGTAGGAGCGGCTTAGAAAGAGGCTTGGTCTTTTTGATCCAGGAGGGAAAGAGAGAGGAGGTCACTGGTTGATTCTTTGCCACGCTTCTGACTCCTGGGCTTTTATTGATAAAAGAATAAATAGATAAACGCTTCAGATGTGTGTCCCCCCCCCCAGAGAAGCTGTTACTGCTACTGAGTCAGGCCGCAGGCACAGAGTTAAGCTGCAAAAGTAGGAGAGGTTGCAGAGACCAAGGACAGGGTTAGATCCAGGTGAACAAAAGGATGGATAGTTGGATGTCAGATCCAGAGGAAAGAGCAGACTGACAGACAGACAGACAGATCCGAGTAAGACCAATCAACAACAGGAAACAAGCTGAGCTGACGCCCCTGGGACACTCCAGTGTTTGCTGCCTGTGTACCAGTTATCACATGACAGGTCAACATCACAGTGCTTCTTTTCATGGAGCCCAGGAGAAGAGTTGCTCCCATTCTTCAGCCTGATACATCTGGTAAGTTCTCAGGCCTGGCTCTCCTAATGATTTTAATATCTCCATGTGCTCCTTTAGTCCCAATTTACTTTGAAAAATGCATGAAATGGCACCTTTTTGCTTTTGAGAATAAGTTGTTTATCACTCTGTGCCTGTGGGTGGTGCTGAACAGCTGGTGTTGTTTACTGGTCTGCCAAGGTGCAGAGTCATCTTGTCTCTGTGTTTGCACTCAGAATGGAGTAAAAAGCTGTTTGTAAAATGGAGTCTCTCAGGGCAAGGCACAGTCTGGAAAAATACCATTTTGCATAATATAGAGTAATGCAGGGCAGAGCACAGCCGGATCCCGACATATGGTAGTATTGCCTCTTATAAAGAAAGTAAAATAACACTTGGACAGTGTTTGCTGTAACACAAAGCATTAGTGAATGGACATTCTTAGGACACACCAAACCCAAGTTTCTGTGTGAACAGAAGCTGGTCTGACCTCTGTGACTTTACCTCTGTTATTGTGAATTATTATTATTATTATTATTATTATTATTATTATTTATTATTATTATATTGTCTTCTCTTGCTTGACTCAAAGCTCCTAAATCCCTTAGCATCCCTGGGAATGATAAGAATCCTTAATGTGGGCCGGGTGGTGGTGGCACATGCCTTTGATCCCAGCACTCTGGAGGCAGAGGCAGGCTGATCTCTGTGAGTTCGAGGCCAGCCTGGTCTACAGATCAAGTTTCAGGACAGCTAGGGCTGTTACACAGAGAAACCCTGTCTGGAAAAACAAACATAAACAAATAAACAAAGACTCCTTAGTGAGCTATTGAGGTGGCAGGGGCACCATCCTGAGGCTGCTCACAGTGAAGACTGAGGTATAGGTGAAGGTTGGGTGTTTCAGCCCTTGAGCCTCTGGAAAATGACAGGTGCTGGGGTTTGAGCTGATTACTAGTGACCAATGATATAACCAATCATGCCTACTTATCAAAGCTTCTAAGAGTCCATGGAGCTTTAGAATAGCTGGACAGGTGGAGGTTCCCTGAGACAGGTGTTTGAAAACCCACAGAGAGTGGGGAGGCATCCCAGTACTTGTCACATGCTTGCCCCTTGCATCTCTTCCATCTGTCTGTCCATCTGAATCCTCTGTAGCAGCCTTTATAATAAATCAGTAGATGCTAGTAAGATGCTTCCCTGAGTACTGTGAGCCAAGAAAGATGGTCTGGAGAATTCCCACCTTACAGCAGGTCATCCAGGGGTTAGTAAGGTAACCGACTATGTGTAGACGGCATCAGGTTGAGTCGCAGCCTGTGGATGAGGCACCCTAAGGGTAGAAACACCTCCTTCGAGGCACCTTCTAAGAAAACAAACCAAATGGAGACCAGAAGAATGACTAATGGAAGTTTTTCCTTTTTTTTCAAAATAGGGTTTCTCTGTGTAGCCTTTGCTGTCCTGGAATTCATTCTGTAGACCAGGCTGACCTCAAACTTAGAGATCCATCTGCCTCTGCCTCCTAAGTGCTGGGACTGGGACTAAAGGTGTGAGCTTCCACCAAGGTCAACACTGCCAGGCTACCACCAGGATTGTATTTGAATTCTTGGTCCCCTGTTGGGGGCACTGTTTAGGGAGTTCTAGGAGATATAGCATTGAGGGAGGAGGCAACTTATAATGTTTAAGACTCTTTACTTTTTAGCTTTATTAGCTTTGAGCCATGAAGCCACAGCTAATTGTATATACCCTTTGGTTTTGTGATCAGTTTAGGACTCCAAGTTGCTCTTTTGCTCATTTGTAACTAGGAAGTGACAAGAATTTTGAGGATTGCCTGCTAAAAATGTTAACGTCTGGGAGTTTTAAGGCGCTACTTTGGGAACCTTCCTCTCCCAGTTCCCTAAATCTTCCCTTATAGTCTTCGTTACTTTTTCTTTTGCTGAGATAAAATACTCCGAGGAAGGCAGCTTAAGGAAGCTTATTTTGGCTCACAGTTTGAGGGCATGGTTCATCCTGGGATGGTGGCAGAGCTCCAGAGGCTGGCCACACCAAGTGCTAATGCTCAACTAACTCCTTGCTTCTGATTCCATTCAGGACTGCTGCCTTCAAGATGCTGCTGCCATATTCAAGTTAGGTTTTCTTACCTCAATTAGCCTAACACAATGCCTCACAGACACACCTAGAGGCTAACCTAATATGGATAACCCCTCAGGCATGTCATAGGCTTGTCTCCTCGGTGACTCTAGAGACTGTAACGTTGACAATCAATATCTACCATTATCCATCCTCCCAAATGACTCTACATTGTGTCAAGTTGACAAAAAAAAAAAAATCAGCCTGAATGCCGGACAGTGGTGGAGCACATGGACCTCTGAGTTAAAGGCCAGCCTGGTCTATAGAGTGAGTTCCTGGATAGCAAGGGTTACACAGAGAAACCCTGAAAAAAAAAAAGAAAGAAAGAAAGGAAAAGAAAAAGAAAATTGCCTGCACAAACAGTTTTTGTCTTAACTGCTAAGACATCCAGACCCATCAGTTTTTCTCCTTTGACTGTCATCTATTAATATGGGCAAACATAACAAAAATCTCACTGAATCCCCAGTAAACCAGGATATTACTTAAAACCTTTGAAGCAATATTTTATGTTCTTGGAGAAACATCTGTTTTGAGAAGATTTCCAAGATGAACAAGATATTTTACCTTCTAATTTCTGGTAGAGTGGGTGGGTCTTTGAGAGGTAATGCTGAAATGAAGTTTTAAGCACAAGAAGTTTATAGGAGAAATGAGAGGCCAATCAGGAAACATGTGTGACAAACAGGAAGAAAGCCAACAGAGGTGAGGAGCTGGAGCTAAATTTTTCGGGAGATGGTGTAAAGCTCATCTCAGACTTACTCTGCCGGAGGAGCAAAGTTGGGATTCTCATCTACAAATGCTCCATCTGCTGCATCTCCATCTTCTTCACTGAGAGTGATGTGTGTGTGGAACGGCCTTACAGAACCCGAGGTGCTATAACTGCTATAACTTCTTAAATGTGTTTGAGTGATTTGCCTGCATGTAAGTCCGTCCCATAAATGCAGTGCTTTGTAGGAAGCCAGTAGAGGGCAGTGAATCCCCTGGAAATAGTTATAGTTTGAACCTCCATGTAGGTGCTGGGAACTGAACTAAGGTCCTCTTTGAGAGCAGCAAGTGCCTTAACCATGGAACTGTCTCTTTAGCTACTACTTATAACTTCTTTTTTCCTCCTTTTTTGTTTTTGTCGAGACAGGGTTTCTCTGTGTTGCTTTGGAGCCTGTCCTAGAACTCACTCTGTAGACCAGGCTGGTCTCGAACTCACAGAGATCTGCCTGTCTCTGCCTCCCGAGTGCTGGGATTGAAGGTGTGCGCCACACTGCCCAGCTATTATAACTTTCTTAACGGAGTTTGTGAAAGACTCCATGTGGCATGCACATCTATGATAAATACCTCTAGAAACACGGAGTTACTGCCACGTGGTCCAAGCAGGAAGGTCAGTCAGATACTGTTGCAGAACCAGTTCCTGCTCTGAGCCTCCTTCCCATATATGAATGGGGGGGGGGATGTTTTGTTTGTTTGTTTTATTCACTTATTTATTTTTAGTTCTCTTGTTTGCTTTGCTTATTTGTTTGTCTTATTCTCAGTGTTACAAACGCAACCCATGGCTCTGAGAAAAATTTAGCCACCTGGAAAAGGAAGGAGACAGTTTTATCTTCCAAACCAGCAAACCCTTGGCCTAAAAACAAAAACAAAAACAAACAAACAAACAAAACAAAAAACCCCCTCCTCCTCCAAATTCTGCCCGTGAAAGGAATTGTTTCTTCTTTTGCTCATCTCCCCTTTTCTATGTGTTATGATACATAGTTAGGGGTTACGAAATGGATCATTCACAGTCAGCCCTGCTATCTCCTTATTTAAGCATTTGAAACAGGGTTGATGAGATGGCTCTAAAGTTAAGTTGTCCTGTCACCTGAACGTGCATGCAATGGTAAGCACATACCTATGCACACAGTCATACACACAAACACAGGCAAGCACACACCCCACATCACACTCACACAGGCATGCACACACCCCACATCCACACACCGCAGTACAATAATAAACAAATCCAAAAATTGTTTGAAACATTATTAGGTATCTTTTCTCTCTCTCAGCTTGCCAAAGGCCAGTCACGTGAGGACTGCCTAACATGAGCTGCCCTTTCTCCACCTCAGCACTGTTTTCTCTCTCTCTCTTTTTTCTTCCAGCACCAGCAGCTGTTGTTCTGCCATCCCTCCAGCCTTCCCTCACAGCCTCCTTGGTGTTTTTCCAGTTCTAAGCACCAGCTGGTCCACAGGCAGAATTCCAACACCATGACAATGGAAGACACATGCCTGTAGAGGTCAGGCTCTGGCACAACATGGCTTCTGCCACATTTTACAGATACAACTGAGTCGAATCACAGGGATTTCTCAGATCCAAGATGTAAGGAAAGTGATTCAAATCCCAATGGAAGAGTTATTAAATATTGGGTCAGTGTTTTCCAACTTGTAGCAGATGGCTCTTTGCCAACATGTGGTCAGAGCTGTGGTGAGCTCCTAAAGGTGAACTTGCTGAGTCAAATATATTAGCAGTTTCCCGAGACATTGCCACATTACACTTCACAGAAGTATTGATTTTGAATTGAACCTCAATGTGTGAGGCTACCAGACCAGGTTTTCCTATGCCTCACAATCTTCCTTTGCCACTTTGATAGTTAAAAGTGGCATCTCCCTGTACTTCTAACTCATACTTCTCACAGGATGAGAGGGATTGGACAGATCTTACGTAGCTATATTTTCTCTTCTTGAAATTGGTATTCATCAATCGTCCCCTTGGTTTATTGCCTTGTTGTCTTAGGGTATACTAAAGAACTTACATGTGCTATTATAGATGTGCTTGGTACCAACTCTGGGACAGTTTGCAATGTTTACTCTGTGAACTTGAAGTGTTCTTAGATACCTAACTTTGATCCTAATGAAGTCTACAAATCCTCTCCTCCCCTGGGAAAGTCCGATGGTATAAGAGATGGTAATGCCTTTTAAATAAGTAAAGTGTGCTAATTTCACTCATTATGTGCAGATTCACTGACTTTTAATAAGCTGGTTATAAAGTAGGGGGTTCTCATGATTCCATGGAAGTTCAAAATTCTTCTGGAACAAGTCAGTAATGAGATGATACAACTAAGAACCAGTCAGTAGATTCAGTATAGGGGCCCCATGCCTGCCCCAGCAATTGGAATGCTGAAGTGGGATTGTGAGTTCAAGGTTATTCTTGGCTACATGCAAGAGGGACCTTGGCAGGAAGCCCCATAGAGAGTGAGGGACAAACACACCGTGCAGACAGAGCTTATGTGAGAAGTTTTATTGGGGGAAAGGGAAGGGAGTGGAGAAAGGGAGGACAGAAAGGAGAGAGAGGGGGGGAGGAAGGGAAGGGGAGTGGGCAAAGATTTGTTTGCCTCTTCAGAGGAACATTGGGAAAGACACAGTGGGGGTGGGAGGAGCTTGTCTCCTAAAGGGACCTTTAGCACCTGCATACACAACCAGGGTACTGCTTGCCATTCGAGCAGGGGTGATGTACTCTGCCAGGTCCCCAAGGGTGGTGGATGCTAACAACATAGCCAAACCCTGTCTAAAGAAACCAAACCAAACCAAAGTTAGAGACACCCACAGCAGAGGTCCCACATTTTATGTCTGGGAACTGTTTCATCCTCTCAACTTTGATGTGTGGTGAGGGCCACAAGAAGCCTACCCTACCCTGAATACAGGTGGCAGTGGTGTGGCTGGGGCAATATATGAGGCCACTGGCAGTGGGTCCAAGATCTAACTAATGCACAAACTGACTTTGTGGAACCCATTCTATATGGAGAGATACCTTGCTCAGCTTAGGCACAAGGGTGTGGGGGTGGAGAGGTGCCTTGGTCTTGCCTCAGTAAGATGGTGGGACAGACTTAGTAGACTTCCTAGGGGAGGCCTAACCCTCTCTCCTAGGAACAGATGGAAAGGTGGGGTGAGGGGAAAATAGGGGGAGTGGGAAGAGAGGAGGGAGGGGGAACTGGGATTGGAATGTAAAAAAATAAATTAATAAATAAAACAAATCTGAAAAATAAAGAAGCCTACCCTAGCCCTGGTGTCCAGACCTCAGGTTGAAGCTCCATTAGGGAAGCAGGCTTGACTTAAGTACTCAGTCAAGCTGAGTTCCTCATGGGGGAACTCAGTTTCCAGTCATATTCCTTCTATCATCAGATTGCTTTCATTCCTTGTACCTTTCAGGGAATTTCAAAAGTTCAGAGAGAAGCTCTGAGGAGTGTGCACAAAAGTCAGACCTTTCCCCAGTTAAAGTCAATTTTCCACAGCATACATACATCCATGTTTGCTTTTGGGGTGTCTTTTAATTTTTTATCTTTTTTTTCATTGTGTTTTGTTTCAATATGGAGACAGGGTTTTACTCTGTAGCCTAGGTTTTATTCTTTGGCTTAGAGCTTTACTGTAAAACCTGTGCTGGCCTCAAAATCACAGAAATCCTCCTGCCTCAGCCTCACAAATGCTGAGGCTACTGGTGTTACTGCATACATCTTTCTATCCCAATTTAAAAATAATCTTATTACATAGGAGCAGAATGAAGAGAACAGATACTTGCACTTCACAGTCTGTGTGGCCAATGCCCTGTGCTTCTGGTATATTTTAATCAGCTTTTTGGTATATATCTGAAGGTATTGTGGCATATGCTTCCCAGTTTCTGTTCATTCTCAATTTAGAAAACAAAACAATGGAACTGTGATTACTTATAGGTGTGTATGTAAGAGAGTGTGTGGATGTGTGTGGAGGTCAGAGGTCAAGTTTTGGAGGTTGGTTCTCAGTTCCCTATGTGGGTTCTAGGGACGGAACTCTGATTTTCAGGCATGCAGGTCAAGGACTTGTATCTTCTGAGCCAGCTCACCAGCCTCACCTCATTGATTTCTTTGAAAGGGTCTCACTATATAGCCTGGCGGACCTGGAACTATGGACCACATCATCCTCAACTCACATTGGTTTCCCTGCTTCTGCCTCTGCCTGCTTCTGCTGCCACCACACCCAGTGCACCAACCCTTTCCCCCATTATATATTCCTAGCTGTCCTGGAACTCTCTATAGAGCAGGGTGGCCTCAAACTCACGGAGATCCACCTGCATCTGCCTCCTGAGTGCTGGAATTAAAGGTGTGCACCACCACACCCAGCTAGCCAACCCTTTTCTAAAAAGTTGTTTACATATTATTTTGTATGTGGGAATGGTACATGTGAGTGTGTGGAAACATGTGCCATGGTATATACATGTGGGGGTCAGAGGACGACTTTCAGGAGTTGCCTCCCTTTTTCCACTGCGGATTCTGGAGTCAGACTCAGGTTAGCAGGCTTGATGGCTCTCCCTTCATCCCTTTGCTAATGTGATGTTACAGTGTTGTGGGAGGGACAGAGTGTGACTTCCATGTCATTTTCCTTTTTCCTTTATTTAGTCTTTCTTTCTTTCTTTCTTTCTT